GCACCCAGCCTATTTTCTTATATTTAATAGGAATAAGGGAATAGTTGTAGTATCATGCCTTCTGTGCAGATCTATTTTGAATTGCCTTCTGTTTTGAATTATATACTTTATTAGGGATTATGTTAATAAATATTAAGACTTTTTAAATGGTTTAGAAATTTGGTTGTAACTTTGTATATAGAAAGCTAATTGAAATAATTTGATCAGTTGTCAGAATACCCTAATTTGATTGACTGTATTTTTTAAAAAAATCAATAGGGACAGATATATGTATATATATTTTTTAAAGAGACAGGGTCTTGCTCTGTTACCATGCTGGAGTGCTGTGGCTTTCTTGATCATAGCTCACTGTAACCTTGAATTCCTGGGCTTAAGCAGCCCTCCTGCCTCATCCTCCCAAGTAGCTGGGACTACAGGCCCATGCAACCATGCTTGGCTAATTTAAAAAAAAATTTTTTGTAGAAATGATCTTGCTATGTTGCCCAGGCTGATCTCAAACTCCTGGGCTTCAGTGATTCTCTCACCTCTTTCTCCCAGAGTGCTGGAATTATAGGCATGAGCTACCACATCTGTCAGGGGCACCTTTTAAATGTAAACTAAAGAACTTCTCATTAAAAGTTTTTATGTAATAAAATTAATTAAAAGAAAGTATAGTGTTCTCAGTGCAATGTACATAAAGACATGGATTGACCAGGCAGTTTCTGATTTTCCTGTTATTCTTTTTCTGATTTCTTATAACTGCTTTTAGATGCGAAAGCACTAATGTTTTGGTGTTAAACTCTCAAATTCCTACTAATCAACAAATTACAAAATGATTGACTATGTTTAACATAAGTAGAAATGCAGTTTTTCTTTTAAAATTTGAAAGTGTTTTCAAGCACCTTGGAAAATCATAATTCAATTTTTAAACTCATTTTGAAAAAAATTTCAAACCTGCTAAAAAATTTCAAGAATAGTACAGTGAATTACTAATAGATTTTGCCACATTTGCTTTTTGTCTCTTTTCTTCCTTCCCACCTTCTCTCCTTCCTTCTTTCCTCCATCCCCCTCTTTTTTTTCTTTTTTTACCCATGTGACATAATTATTTTCTTTTTTACAAATATATGTTGTATCAGGATAGTGAATCATGTACTCATATGCATCACTGCTATTATTCGTAGAAGTGACTTTGTCAGAATCTACTTGAGAATGTTTTGTTCAGTATTCATTTAACTTAAATCATAAATTTTCTTTCTAAAAGATGAAAACGTATAGGCTTTGACTCAGTATGAATATTGATATATTCAAATTTAAAGAAATATAAATATTGTTTTCCTAAGTTAATGGGAACAAAAATTTGGGGACATTTTGACTATGAAGAACATTTTGTAAAGACTGTGTACTCAATCCAGGGAATTTCTTTATAAGTGCCATTAAAATTTTTATTTTTTATTTGAAATGATTTCCTAATCTTGGACCAAAGAAATTTTTGAGTATTTGATACATTTGGGTACCAATTGTATTTTAGATTCAAAATACAAAATGTTTTCATTTAAAGCTCATGTTGGCTGTTTTCAGGGGAGGAAGGAATTAAATCCTAATTTATTCTTTTGTTTTGTTTTGAATTAGGAAGCTCTGGAGGAATATGTGAAAAAAGTAAACTCTATTCAGATGGTAAGAAGAAGTCGTTAAACACTGGAATTATTACTGTTCAGAACTATGGGTCTCATGTACCTCCCAAAGTCTCTCATATTACTTTTGCTCATGAAGTTGGTCATAACTTTGGATCTCCAGTAAGTATTGCCTAATTATCAGAAATTATTTAAAAAGTTATTAGCCTAACTTTTGTCTGTTTACAGTGAAAACAAATATACATATGAATATTTAGTTTTTATGTCAGAATGTAGTAATGTACTTGACCATACTGAAAGGGAGGAATATAGAATATTTGTGATTAAAATAAGAAAAGTAAGCATAACAATGCCAGAATTCTATGAAGGCAAGGAATTTTGTCTGGCTTATTCAGACAAAATAATATCTATATTTCCTGGCCCTGGAACAGTGCCTGGTACATAATGCACTGAAATATCTTTTGAATGAGAATCATTATTCATTGTTTAAAGTACATTTTGAATGTTCAGCAAATTGTGAAATTTTTTTTTCTGCTTTGTTTCTGTTAAAGCATTATTGGGGTTTACTTGGTTTGTCTTTCTCTGTGGAATGAGATCGATATTTAAATAATCTTTTCTAACATACAACAAGGTAGAAAAAAATAGGACAATAAACTCTCATATGCCCCATGGTCCAGAACAAGGATCAGGAAGCTTTTTCTGTAAAGGGCCTGTTAATAAACATTTTAGGCTTTGGGAAGAGCATTTGGTCTCTGTTGCATATTCTTTTTTGTTGTTTTTACAATTTTTTAAATATGGAAAAACCATTTTGGCTTATGCTGTATAAAAAGAGGCTGTGGGCTGCACTTTGCCAACTTCTGATTCAGAGTCAATAATTATCCAGATTTTGCCATATCTCTTTTATGTATTCCTTTCTTTTTCTTTGCTAAGCTATTTAAGGCAAATTGATTTATCCTTACATATTTTGGTATGCATTTCTGAAAAATAGACATTTTCTTATATAACTACAATGTGGTTATTATTCCTAACAAAATTAACAGAAATCTTTGATATTATTTAATGCCTAGTTTATTTGATTGATTGATTGATTGAGACAGAGTCTTGTTCTGTCACCCTGCTAGAGTGCAGTGGCATCATTGTAGGTCACTGCAACCTCAAACTCCTGGGCTCAAGGGATCCTCCTGCCTCAGCCTCCCAAGTAGCTGGGACTACAGGTGCGTGCCACCACACCCGGCTAGTTTTTCTATTTTTTTTAGAGATGGGGTTTCACTCAGGCTGGTCTTAAACTTCTAGCCTGAATGGTTCCTCCTGCCTCAGCGTCCCAGAGTGCTAGGATTACAGGCATGAGCCACTGTGCATGGCCCATTATATTGATTTTTAAAAGACCTAAAGATCAATACAACACAGAAATATGAAATACTGAAAGATATCCTTAGTGATTTTGGTAGAGCTTATTAAAAATAACACTTTGGAAAACTTCACTTGAAGTAGTATGTACATTCATGTTACTTTTACCTTATCACTTGTAAAAATGCAAAATTTTATGGTTTTAAATGTAAATTATCTACTAGTAGCTTAAAATCTGCAAATGCACTTCTCCAATTTCCCCAAGTTTATCGAGTATATGCCATCTCACTAAGTTGCAAGTCTTTCCTCTTCTAAGTCCTGATGATAAATTGACAGGTTATCATTGCTCCTGGATAAAGGATTTAAAATGTGCTTAATCTCTTTACCTCTTGACTGCTTTTGTGATCTGTTCTTAAAAGAGTATTTGAAATTTTAGAGATGAGCAGAGAATTGTTGTTCATGGTTAATTTGCATTTTCAAAGACAAGTAAATCTTCCCTCCTCCCCCTACGGTTTTCTTGGTTCCAGGCCTTACAGGGGAATTGTAGTCTCCTTCCAGCTACTCTCTGTCTTCTAATTCAGGGCTTCTCATTTTAACATACATATAAATCACCTGAGTATCTTAAAATACAGAGTTTGTTTTAGTAGGTCTTTGGTGGGGTCTGAGTTTCTGTATTTCTAATACACTCCTGCTGCTGCTGGTCTTTGGACCACATTGGAGTAGGGAATCTAGACCATTATCTTTTCACTTCTAATGTATTTTCTACCCAGCTGTCAGGTGTTTTTAGTACATTAATGTTGTACTATGTATTGCTTATTGTTTAATGGGTAAATTGGTCTGCATTCTTTGTCTGCCTTGGTGTCTTTTCCTATCATACCACTCTATTTTTAAAGATTCTACCATGCTCAAGTACATCCCATCTTCTGTACGTGTTACTAATTCTGCCATCTATATACATAATAGATGCTTGTCTTTATCTGTTTTATGTTACTATAAAGGAATACCTGAAGCTGGGTAATTCATAAAGAACAGAAGTATATTTGGCTGACAGTTCTGCAGGCTGTGTAAGAAGCATGGTGCCAACAGCCGTTCAGCTTTTTTTGAGGGCCTCAGGCTGCTTCCACTCATGGGAGCAGGCATGTGCAAAGATCACATGGTGAGAGAGGAAGCGAGAGGTGGGAGGTGCCAGGTTCTTCTTAACAGCCAGCTCTGTTGTTCGAACTAACAGAGTGAGAACTCACTCACCCTCCACCCCCAAGAAGGGCATTAATCTATTCATGAGGAATCTGCTCCCATGACCCAGACACCTCCTATTAAACCCCACTCCAACATTGGGGTCAAATTTCAACTTGAGGTTTGGGGGAACAAACATCCAAACTATAGCAATGTGTAATAAATATTTATTGAGTAATTTGATTGTAAGATCAGCCAGAACCATAAACTCCTAAACCTGTCTCCCTTGACATCTTTATCTGAAGTCTCTCTTTTCTCCTCCTGCTATATATCTTGTACTATGTCAACGTTACTTTCCCCCGAATGGTTGATATTATCCCTCATATTTATTCTATCCCAAGTATTTGTTGTGCGTCTATTATAAACTGCTTTGTAAACTTTGTTGTGGTAAGTTGTAATCATAAATGCGACAAGTTCCTGTCTCTTAATGTGAAAATTCTAGTGTGTACCCACTCTTACCAGATTAATCTTTGTGTAAATGTAGTTCTAATCATGCCATTTCTGTTTACAACCTTATTTCCACTATATTGCTGATATTATTCATATACTTTCCTTATCTTAGTATTTAGGGTTTTCCATAATTTGGGTCCAAATATATTTCCAGTGTTGTCTCCCCTCACCTGTCATGTAATTCACAGACCTTTAAAACTTTCTTCTGCCAGGAAGATTATTCCTTCTCATCTTTGGCTATTGAAATCTTGATCCATGTTGTTATATGATGTTAATATGGCCCTTTTTCAGGAAATTTGGCAGTATCTATCAGGACCCTTAAAGTGTTCTACTTTTTAACTCAGTAATTCTACCTCTCGAAATCCAACTGAAAGAAATAAATGGAGAATCTCTTAAAGAGTTATTGTGTTTGAAAATTAAAAATTAGGAAAATATAACCATTGCAGTTTTATTTATAATAGCAAAAAGTTTTTAATGGCCATACAATATGAAAATATTATGGAATGCTCTGCAGTCATTTAAAACTGAAGCTTTGCAGCGTACTCCTTAGACTGTTAAGCTGAAAGAAACATGTATATAACTGTATACATGATATAGTGCAAATTTCATATTAGATTATGATACAGCTAGATATATAGAAAATAGACCAAATGTTAATAGTATTTATTGTTTGTGGTAGATTATGATTGAATTTTTCTTTATCTGTTTTTTATTTTCTAAATTTTCTATAGGATCATATATTATTTTTATAATTAGAAAATTTTTCTGTTTTCTTGTCTAAGATTATATTATAGTTTCCTTGTGAAATCTTTCTTGTGATTTGGACTCTCATAGCACTTTTTGGCGTCCAGGCAAGATAGCCTTTATGTTCTATTTTATGTTTTGCTTATTTGTTTGCTTATTTTATTTCCTTATCTGAGGATGGCAAATAACTCGCGTGGTTGTTTACAACCTCTTACTCCTTCCATGCTGTTAATGATGGTCTATAATATCCCTGGGGCTAATAAAGCAATAATTGGTGAGCAGTGTCTATAATGGATTTATGGGGCAGCAAGTCAGACCACGCAGATATGTCACAATTTGCTATCATTTTTAAATAGAATGTAAGTTCCTTAAAGCCTAGGGATAATGCTTGTCTCATGTTTATATTTTCGTATTATATTTTAGTGCCTCCTTGTATAATAGTGGATGCTCACTAATATTTATTGAATTGAAAAGCGGTAAAATATTCTGTAATGAAATCAAGAGTTACACTGTATTGGAATTTTTTCTTCCCTTTTCTAAAATTCTAATGTTGAAAATAATTCTAGTGCCCTACCTTATCAGAAACCAAATTGAATTCTATGGAATGAAAACATAAAGGAAGATAATATTGGAGAATAGTATAGAGTTGTTAAGTGCTGAATCTAGGTTTAGGAGAAAGCCAAGAGGTATCCGAGAGAACAAAGGTGTGGTAGTAGCGGTCATATTTTTTTTTTTCTTTTTTTGAGACAGAGTCTGACTCTTTTGTCTAGGCTAGAGTGAGTGCCGTGGTGTCAGCATAGCTCACAGCAACCTCAAACTCCTGGGCTTAAATGATCCTCCTGCCTCAGCCTCCCGAGTAGCTGGGACTACAGGCATGTGCCACCATGCCCGGCTAATTTTTTCTGTATAGTTTTAGTTGTCCGATTAATTTCTTTCTATTTTTAGTAGAGACGGGGTCTCGCTCTTGCTCAGGCTGGTCTCCAACTCCTGAGCTCAAACAATCCGCCCGCCTCGGCCTCCCAGAGTGCTAGGATTACAGGCGTGAGCCACCGTGCCCGGCCAATAGCGGTCATATTTTTAAACAGTCGTCTCAGAATGGAGAGTAGAAAATGAAAGATGGGCTCTGAGAAAAAAATAGCATGTCATTAGACAATCCTTTTCTTTCTGGAGAGTAGGGTTGTTGGGTATTCAAAATAAGATTTAAAATAAATAGAACTATTACTCTAGTACCGATGTTTTTCACCCCTTCTGATATATTCTGAATCTTTTGAGCAGCATTGTGAGGTTGGTTGGTTTGTTTGTTTTAGTGCATATCCCCAAGGAGAGCAGGGGCTGCTGGGTTAGCTTGCTTGATCTCAGCACTGGTCACATAAGTGTGTTTACTTTGAGAAAATTCAGGAAGCCATGCTTCGGAACTTTTCTGTACATATCTGATACTTCAGTAAAATTTACCAAAACCAAATACCACTTCTGCGAATTTACACATACACAGAATTCTGTCATCTGTTTATTCCGCAAAGCAAAATTTTTCGTTTTCCTCTTGGTGTTTCTTCATTTTCATTTTAAAATAGATCATTGTGTTTCTATCCCTAGTCAGCATTTTTACTTTTCTTGCTTGCATACTGATTAATAAGTTAGCTATCTTCAATTCCTGTTGTATGTGTGCTTAGCCCCATACCAGTCTTATTTTGTTTCCTTTCTCGTTTTTCCCCACCTGTCTCCCCGAATTAGTTATAACCTGTAATTTAGCATATATTTTAGAGAATATTTAGTAATTTTAGAATAGTTTATATTACTGTTACTAGTTTTAAAAGTAGGTGAGCTTATTTTTAATAGATTTTTATGACAGTTTGTCCTCAGTTCTATTTCCTACCTAGAAAGCTATAAATTGTGGCTAGACCTCCACTGATTTTCCTTCCTTTCTAAGACAGTGGCTCCTAGAAGAGCAAATTGTTTTCCTACTCACAGTATAAAACAATTGTAAGATCCTTTATAAAGGAGAGTCCACAAGCTTCCATTATTCTTTTTGATGAAAACATTACATTTAATCAGATGACCTGAAAACCTTATTTTACTTCCTGTTTATGTAACTCTACATTCTGTTTGACAGCATGATTCTGGAACAGAGTGCACACCAGGAGAATCTAAGAATTTAGGACAAAAAGAAAATGGCAATTACATCATGTATGCAAGAGCAACATCTGGGGACAAACTTAACAACAATAAATTTTCACTCTGTAGTATTAGAAATATAAGCCAAGTTCTTGAGAAGAAGAGAAACAACTGTTTTGTTGGTATGTATCTTTTCCCAACATTTTGTTATAAAGATTTTCAAACATTCAAAAAACTTGAAAGAATTATACAATAAGCACCCATATACCCATCCACCTATATTGTATAATTGTTAAAACTTTGCTGTATTTGCTTTATCACATATTTATTAATCTGTCCATCTTTCAATCTATATTTTTATTGCAATTTAACACATTAACTGTCACACTAGGAAAAAAAATTTTTTTCCTCAGGGCCATGGTGTTTTATTATGAAAATAGAATAAAAACTTTGAAAACAAAATGATCCTTTCTAATTTAATGAAAAATTGGTTATTTTTTATTGTTTTCTGCTTATGAGTTATATGCTACTTTAAAAATAGTTTACATGGCTCCCAAGGTAGGGACATATGAATTACATACGCTTCACAAGGTCCTGGGCTCAAAACTGGTGTAAGTTAATAAATACAACTCACATGGCAGTTAATGTATTAAAGTAAGTGGTGACCATCAGTATACTTCACCCCTAAACACTTTAGCCTGCCTGTCATTAACTAGAGTTCAGTATTGTTTGGAGTTTTTTTTCTGTTTCCTACATAAGTAAAATGCACAAATTTTAAGTGCACATTTGGTGAGTTGTTGTTTTGTTTTGTTTGTTGAGATAGGATCTCACTCCAATGCCCAGGCTAGAGTGCAGTGGTGTCACCATAGCTCACTGCAGCCTCCAACTCCTGGGCTGAAACGATCCTCCTGCCTCAGCCTCCTGAGTAGCTGGGACTACAGGTGTGTGCCACCATACCTGGCTAATTTTTAAAAATATTTAGGTCTTGCAGTGTTGCACAGGCTGGTCTTGAACTCCTGACCACAAGTAATCTTCCCACTTGGTCTCCCAAAGTGTTAGGATTACAGGCATGAGCCACCGCGCCCAGCCCATTTGATGAGTTTTAACAAATGCATTTACCTTGTGCAAACTAAGTACCTATCAAGATAGAGAACATTTCTGCCACCTCAGAAAGTTCTTTTATTCCCCTTCCCAATCAATCTCTGTTCCTAATACACCTCCAGAGGCAACCGCTATCTGATTTATTTCACCATAGATTGGTTTTGCCTCCATATAAATGGAATCATACAGTTCGTACCCTTTTGTGGAAGGCTACTTTAACTCAGTGTAATATTTTGAGATTCATTATTAGTATTTTACTCCTTTTTATTTTTGAGTAGTATTATATTGACTGAATGTATCCCAGTTTGCCCATCTACTCTTCTATTAATGAGTACCTGGGGCTTTTGGGTTTGGGCTAGTGTAAATAAAGCTGCTATGAAATTATTTTTCTCTTATTGTATTAAAATATATATAACATAAAATTTGCCATTTCAACCAATTTTAAATATGCAATTTTGTGGTATTAATTACATTCACAGTGTTGTGCAGCCGTTACCATTATCCATTTCCAAACTGCTTTTCATCATCCAAAACAGAAATTTTATAAACATTTAGCAATAACTTCTCTCCCCTTCCCTTAGCCACTGGTAACCTCTAATCTACTTTCTTTCTGTTCTTTTTTTCCCCCCCTGCCATTTAGCATATCATAATAATCTACTTTCTGTCTTTGTGAATTAGCCTATTCTAGGTGCCTCATACAAGTGGGATTATACAATGTTTGTTCTTTTGTGTTTGTCTTATTTCACTTAGCATAATATTCTCAAGGTTAATCCATGTTGTAGCATGCATCAGAACTCCATTTTTTTTAATGTCTGAATAATATACAATTCTATACATAGATTACATTTTGTTTTTCCATTTGTCTGTTATACCTTTCTTGTGTCATTTAACATAGTCAGCCATGTGGCATTTAACATATTCTAAATACTCTACCTTGTATTATGGTTTTTTTGGTGTGTCCTTGTTTCTCAAGATTATAAGTTACTTGAGGAAAAACACTGAAGCCTATTCATCTTTGTATGTAAAGAGCATTCAAAGAGGGGTTAAACATGTGACAGCAAAGGGGAAAGAATTGAGGAAGATTTCCAGATAAACATGGCTTTTTGTCTTTAATTAAAAATTTTATAGTTATAGATTCACATAGTTGTAAGAAGTAATAGATTCTCTGTGTCTTTCACCCAGTTCCCCTCAATGGCAATATCTTGCAAAACTATAGTACAGTATCACAATCAGGTTGTTGACATTCATACAATCCTTAGATCTTATTCCCCAGTTTTCCTTGTTCTCATTTCTTTGTGTGTATTTTAGTAGTATATAATTTTATTACATGTGTAGGTTTATGCATCCACTACCACAGTCAAGATTCAGAACAGTTTCATTAGCACAAGGATCCCTCAGTGTTACCCTTTCCTCCTGTTGTTCCTTCCCCCACCCTAGCTGTTCTCCATTTCTAAAATTTTGTCACTTCAAAAATACTATATAAATGAAAACATACAGTATATAACCTTTTGGGGTTGCCTTTTTTTCCCCACTTGGCATAAATCTCTGGAGATTCATCTAAATTGTTGCCTTTATCGATAGTTTGTTCTGCTTTATTTCTAAGTAGTATTCCATGTATGTATATATAGCCGTTTGTTTAACCAATCACCTATTGAAGGACATCTGGGCTGTTTACAGTGTTTAACGGTTATGAATAAAGCAGCTATAAATCTTCATGTACAGGTTTTTTTGTGTGAACACACTTTTTTATTTCTTTGGGATAACGGCCCCAAAATCCAATTGATGAACCATGTAACAATTGCTTGTTTTATTTTGTACAAAACTGCCAAACTGTTTTCCAGGGTGGCTGTACTATTTCACATTCTCACCGGCAGTATATGAACAATCAGATTTTTCTGCATCTTCACCAGCATTTAATGTTTTCACGATTTTTTATATTAGCCTTTCTGCTAGGTGCATAGTAATATCTCATAGTTTTAATTTACATTTCTCTGATGACTAAAGATGTTGAACATCTTTTCATATGCTTATATATTTGCCAGCTATATATTTTCTTTGATGAAATGTCTGTTCATTTTTTTGGCCATTTCTAAGGAGATTTTTTTTCTTTTAAGTTTTGAGAGTTTTTTTATATAGTCTAGATTCTAGTCATTTGTCAGATAATTGGTTTTCAAATATTTTCTCCCAGTCTGTAGCTTGTTTCTTTTCATCCTTTTACAGTTCTTCTCAGAGAAAAAGTTTTAAATTTTGATGAGGTCTAATTGATCAGTTTTTTCTTTCATTGATTGGCTTTTTCTTTTAGAGGGACAGATTGAAATTGCATTGATGTTATCATTTTTGTTATTATTATCACCATTACTGGCAGTTTTTCTAACACTTGTTAACATAGAAGTGCTAGGTAGGTTCTTCATTTGTAAAGTGGGTTTTCACAGTAAACTTTCTGATTGAAGTTGACTTTTAAAAATGAGCATATTGCTTTGTATATATTATGGGAAAGAAATTTGTTTCTTAAATTATAACAAAATGTTTATTACAATTTTTGCATTTAAGTAGTACCTTTACTGTATTTAAGCTGTTAGCATGTTAGGACATAGCTAATTTGAAGTAGTAATTCTATATGAGATAAAAATTAACATGTAGTAAATATTGCCTCAGGTTTTTCTGACTTTGTCATTTTCTCTTTTCTCCTAAATTGCATGTCACATGAATTATAAAATTATTACCAGACTTTTAAAAAATAATTATTTACTTAGTGTATATGTACACATGCAAACTTCTAGTTTTGGAGAATAAAAGAGATTGTTTAAAGTGAAACAGGGATGAAGCTTCATAACTAAAGTTAATAGTTAATAGTGCTTTAATAGTTGATGTGGTTAAAGATAAGAATGAACTTTCTGAATATAAAGCCAGTCTTTCTAGAACATTTTTGATTCAGATATTCCTTATGTGGGGTACTGTGTTGGAGTGTGTTCCCTTCTACTTACTCATTTCTCAATTTAAAGCCTGTACTATGACCATTTTCCACATTGAGTAGAAAGGAAAGAGCACCAGATTGTAGACCTAGGAGACCCTGGGTTTAGTCTGTGTTTTGCCCGTACTGGGGTATATGTTCTCTAGCAAGTTACAAACTCCTTGCAAGTTAGTTTTCTTTTCTAGAAAATGAAAGCATTTGATTTTTATCATTCCCTGCAGGTGCTAAAGTTGTTTGATTTTATGATCTTACAAAGAGTAGCATTCTTATTCTAATTTTAAATTCCATTGATAAAAATCAAAGAATGGTAGAAGACAGGTAAAGAAATTTTCTAAAATTATTCACTGTGCTTAGACCAGACTGTCTAACCATAATCACCTGAAATTTGTCCTGATATGGTTAGGCTCTATGGGAATACAAAAGATTCAAATAATACATGTTTCTTCCCTTTAGAAGCTTGGTCTATCTAAGGAGCAAAATTAATGTATATTTTTAAAGAATTACTTATTAACTGCATTCAGTCATCCAAATAGAATGTGGGGAATTCCATAGGATAAAATCTCACTCAACTTCTTTAACAAATAAATGGTATAAAAATAAAAAGAGAGGGAGGAATGTGTTATACATTAAAAGAACTTAAAAGACATGACAACCAAAAGCTTATCTCCAGTGAGATTGTCCTTTATCAAACAGTCCCAAAACAATACATGTTGGAGTGGATGTGGAGAGATAGGAGCACTCATATACTGCTGGTGGGTGGTGGGATTGCAAACTAGTACAAGCTCTGTGGAAAGTAATACGAAGATACCTCAAAGAGCGATAAGTAGAACTACCATTTGATCCAGCAATCCCATTACTGGCCATCTACCCAAAAGAATAAAAGACATTCTATAAAAAAGACATCTGCACTAGAATGTTTATAGCAGCATAATTCATAATTGGAAAGATGTGGAAACAACCCAAGTGCCCATCAATACATGAGTGGATTAATAAAATGTGGTATATGTATACACCATGGATTTCTACTCAGCCACAAAAAACGATGGTGATATAGCACCTCTTGTATTATCCTGGATAGAGCTGGAACTTATTCTACTAAGTGAAGTATCACAAGAATGGGAAAACAAGCACCACATGTACTCACCATCAAGTTGGTATGAACTGATCAACACTTATGGGCGCATATAGTAGTAACATTCATTAGGTGTTGGGCAAGTGGGAGTGGAGGCGGAGGGGATGGGTACACATCTGATGGGTGCGGTGCGCACCGTCTGGGGGATGGACACGCTTGAAGCTCTGACTCAGGTGGATCAAAGGCAATATACATAACCTAAACATTTGTACCCCTGTAATATGCTGAAGTAAAAAAAAAAAAAGCAACCATGGCGGGAGGGGTTGCAATCAGGGAACCTTGTTTGGAACTTGATTCAGACCAACCAATTGTAAAGAGACAGTTGAGGACAATCGAATATGATTTGGCTATTAGGTGCCGTTAAACATACTGTTAATTTTGTTTGATGTGATCGTGGTTATTATAGTTAGGTTTTAAAAAGATAAAACTTCTTATCTCTTAGAAATATACTCTAAATTATTTACAGGAGCAATAATAGGTGAAGTTGTTTTAAAATACTTCAGAAAAAAATAAATTGTGGGGGTAAATGAAGCAAGAACAGCATGTTTTCCATAGTCCGTAGTTAAAGCTAAGAGATTGGTACGTGGGAGTTCATTGTGCTGCTTCTTTTATTATTTTTATGTGTATTTGAAATTTTCTGTAGGAAAAAGGTTTAATTTTTTTCCTGATTGATGACGTACCAACTTAATTTGTATTTGTGTGATATAAATAGTGCAGTCATGGTACAATTAAGCTTAGTGTGGAATGGCCTAGATAGCAAGTTACCACTTCTAGAAGGGACCATCAGGTCAAATCCCCTCACTATACAAGTCAAGGGCCCCAAAAGGGAAGTGATTAGTGCAAGGTCACATTGCTAGTTAGTAGCAGAGCCCCTGTTAGAATTAAGTCTCAAGATTTCCAGATTCCTAGTTTGTACTATTTCTTTTATTCATCAAAGATTTCCTTTATCCTTTTGTTTTGAAGCTCTAAAGAGTTTGTGAATTTTAAATAAATTAATGCATGCATATAATGCTTACCTTATCTTATTTACTTTCCTCAGAATCTGGCCAACCTATATGTGGAAATGGAATGGTAGAACAAGGCGAACAGTGTGATTGTGGCTATAGTGACCAGTGTAAAGATGAGTGCTGCTTTGATGCAAACCAACCAGAGGGGAAAAAATGTAAACTGAAACCTGGAAAAGAGTGCAGGTACCTTGCTAATTCCAGTAATGTTAATGTTCCTGTAAAATCACCTGAAAGCAGTTATAACAAATATAAAACTGAAATTAAAAAATGCATATGGTTTTAAAACTTTGTTTTTCTTTATTGCTGTTTTATTTATTTTGCTGAAATAGTATTGGTTAGTGCCCTCTTGTTGGCAGATTGAACTACTTGTAATGGTATTTTGTGTGATGGGTGTTAATAAGGACATACAAAGGATTCTCAAAAAACGTTACTTAGTTACTAACTTCAAAAATGTGACTATCTTTCATATTTTTAGAATCTTTAAATATTTAGGTAATATGGAGTCCGTACACTTTATAACTTGGTGCCACATAATTATTTCACTTGTCAAATTACTTTGGTAGTGATAGATATAAGCAATAGAATATTATTTATACAATACTATTTATGTATCTATCTATCTGTGTATCTGTCTGTCAGTCTATCACAGCAACCTCATGCTCCTGGATTCAAGCGATCCTCCTGCCTCAGCCTCCCAAGTAGCTGGGACTACAGGTGCACACCACCACGCCCAGCTAATTTTTTCTATTTTTAGTAAAGATGAGGTCTCGCTTTTGCTCAGGCTGGGCTCGAACTCCCAAGCTCAAGCGATCCTCCTGCCTCTGCCTCCCAGAGTGCTAGGATTACAGGCGTGGGTCACTGCGCCCGGCCTATACAATACTTTTTAAATGGCTGGTCTGTATATTCTAGTTTGATTTTAGCATGTAAATATGATTAAAACTGATAAATTGACTGATGCAGATGTAACTGAAAAAACACTGATAAATTGCCTAACATTAAATTCATTTTCCAATACAACTTCTCTTACTCTATTTCACTAAAGGCAAATAGAGTGAGAATGAGGAATATAGTATGCCTTGACTATAAAAACAAGGCAGTTAATCACTTTTCTACATTCCTTAGAATGTTTAAACTTAGTAGCTTCTTATTCCAATTTTTTATTGATAACATAATTGTATATATTTGTGGAGTACACATGATATTTTGATGCATGTATATAATGTGTAATGATCAAATCAGGGTAATTTATTAATAGGATATCCATCACCCCAAATGTTTATCATTTCTTTGTATTGGGAACATTTCAAATCTTCTCTTACAGCTATTTTGAAATATATAATAAATTATTGTTAACTGTAGTCATCCTACTATACTGTTGAACATTGGAACTTACTCCTTTTTTCTAACTGTATTTTTGTACCCATTGACCAACCTGTCTTCATCCCCTTCTTTACTATCCTTCTCAGCCTCTGGTAACCATCATTCTGATCTCTACCTCCATGAGATCAATTTTTTTTAGCTTTCACATGAGTGAGAACATGTGATATTTGTCTTTCTGTGCCTGGCTTATTTTACTTAACATAATGACCTCCAGGTCCATCCTTGTTGCTGCAAATGATAGAATTTCATTCTTTTTTTTTTTTTTTTAATGGCCAATTGGCATTCTATTTGTATACATACCACATTTTCTTTATCCATTCATCTATTGATGTACACTTAAGTTGATTCCATATCTTGGCTATTGTGAATAGTGCTGTGGTAAACAAGGGGGTGCAGTTATCCTTTGACATACTGATTTCCTTTTTTTGGATATATACCTAGTAGTAGGATTGCTGGATCATATGGTATTTCTTTTAGTTTTATAAAGGAACCTCCATATTGTTTTACATTGTGGCTGTACTAATTTACGTTCCCAACAGCAGTGTACTGGTATTCCCCTTTCTTTGCATCCTTGCCAGCATCTGTTATTTTTTTAATCTGTCTTTTTGATAATAGCCATTTTAACTGGGTAAGATGATATTTGATTGTGGTTTTGATTTGCCTTTCCCTGATAATTAGTGATGTTGAGCATTTTTCATGTATCCCTTGGCCATTTGTATGTCTTTTGAGAAATGCCTGATCAAATCCTTTGCCCTATTTTTTTTTTTTGAATCCTACCCTGCTTTGCCCACTTTTTAATGAGATTATTTGTTGAGTTGTTTGAGTTCCTTGTGTATTCTGGATATTAGTCCCTCGTCAGATAAATAGTTTGCAGACATTTTCTCCCATTCTACAGGTTGTTTCTTCACCCTGTTGATTGTTTCCTTTGCTATGGGGAAGCTTAATCCCATTTGCTTATTTTTGCTGTTTGTGTGTGTGCTTTTTTGGTCTTACCTAAAACAAATTTGCCCAGGTCAATGTCCTGATGTATTTCCCCAATGTTTTCTTCTAATGGTTTCATAGTTTGAGGCCTTACATTTAAGTCACATTTTGATTTGATTTTTGTATATGGTCAGAGATGGGAATCTAGTTTCATTTTTCTGCATATGGATATCTAGTTGTCCCAGCAGCATTTATTGAAGAGATGGTCCTTTCTCCAGTGAGTGTTCTTGGTGCCTTTTTTAAAAATCAGTTGACTATAAATATGTAGATTTATTTGTGGGCTCTCTTTGCTGTTTCATTGCTCTATGTGTCTGTTTTATACCAATACCATCCTGTTTTGGTTACTGTAGTTTTGTGTAGTACATTTTAAAGTCAGATAGTGTGATGCCTCCAGCTTTGTTCTTTTTCTCAGGATTGCTTTGGCTATTCGGGGAGGGTCTTCTGTAGTTTCATTTGAATTTTAGGGTTGTTTTTTCTATTTCTGTAAAGAATGCTATTTTTTTTTGTTAGAGATTGCCTTAAATCTGTATATGGCTTTTAGTAGTATGGTCATTTTCAAAATATTCATTTTTCCAATACATGAACGTCTTTTAATTTTTTGTGACCTCTTCAATTTCTTTCATCAGTGTTTTATAGTTTTCATTGTAGAGATCTTTCACCCCCTTGATTAAATTTATTCTTAGGTTTTTCATTAATTTTTTTGTAGCTATTGTAAATGGGTTGCTTTTTAAATTTTTTTTTCCCTCACTCGTTTGTTGTTGTACATACAAATGCCACTGCTTTTTGTATGTTGGTTTTGTATCCTCCAACTTTATTGAATTCATTTATCAGTTGTAAGAGTTTTTTGGTGGAGCTTTTAGGGTTTTCTATATATAAGATCATGTTGTCTGCAAACAGGGACACTTTGACTTCCGTCTTTCCAATTTGGATGCCCTTTATTTCGTTCTCTTGCCTAATTGCTCTGGCTAGTACTTCGATTACTATGTTGACTCAGAGTAGTGAGAGAGGACATTCTTGTTTGCTAGTTCTTTCAGGAAAGGCTTCCAGCTTTTTCCTGTTCAGTATAATGTTGGCTGTGGGTTTGTCACATATGGTCTTTATTGTGTTGAGGTATGTTCCTTCTATACCTAGGTTTCTGAAGGTTTTTATCATGAAGTGATGTTGAATTTTATGAAAGGCCTTTTTTTTTGTGCATCTGTTGAGATGATCATATGGATTTTGTCCTTCATTCTGTTAATGAAATGTATTATGTTTATTGGTTTGTGTGTGCTGAACTTGCATCCCTGGGACAAATCCCATTTGATCATGGTGAATTATCTTTTTAATGTGCTGCTGGATTTGATACAAGTCTGGTTTTCTTTTATTGTTGTGTCCTTGTCTGGTTTTGGTATCAGGATAATGCTGGCCTTGTGGAATGAGTTTGGAAGACTCCCCTCCTCTTTGATTTCCTGGAAGAGATGAGTTGCTATTAGTTCTTCTTTAAATGTTTGTTGAAATTCAGCAGTGAAGCCATCAGGTTCTGGGCTTTTCTTTGTTTGGAGACTTTTAATTACTGATTCAGTCTCTTTACTTGTAATTGGTCTGTTCACGTTTTCTATTTATTCTTGGTTTAATCTTGATAAGTTGTTTGTGTCCAGGAATTTATCCATATCTGTTAGGTTTTCCAATTTGTTGACATATAGTTGTTCGTGATGGTGTTTAATGATCCATTGTAGTTCTGTGGTATGAGTTACAATGTCTCCTTTTT